AAGTATTACAGTAATTTTGCTCCTCCCCCAGCTATAACTCTGGGTCCAGCATGTGTTCCTTCCCTCCCCTGGGAATAAACAATTTTTTTTCTGTCCTCTTCCCCCAGATGTAATTGATTTTCACCAGTAGCAAAGGGCAATACTGTAGCCCTTTCATCAGCAGTTTAAGGCTTTTGTTCCAGGAGAATCCTATATATTTTGTCAGAATCCATTCCATTGAATAAAAGTCATACCTAAAAATCTCTTTGAATTAACCTCTTCTCTATCTAAGGCTTATGGTGAGTGATCTTTTAGAAGTACTTCTTAGAGGGATATTGTTTTATTGAGAGGATTTATAAAGCAACACCCAGCATTTTTAGAGGGTGTTTTAATGGAGGCACTACCTTTGATCTTTCTGAGGTCTTAATGAAGGATTTAATAGGCATATCCTCAGATTCATCCTTAGATTGTGTATTTCTCATACTGCCTTGGATCTGATCTTTGCTCAGAAGCCATGTCTTAATTTTTGCATTGTTTGCCATCTGGAAAGGCTTGGAATTTTCAAAACTAGCAAGTCCTGGCTCATTTTTTTTTACAGTTCTTCATGTAGCCTGTCCTTCTCCTTTTACATTTTAATGTAAGTGAAAGAAGAAACCAAGCAGCACTTTCAACATTCTCTCTGGAAATTCCCTTAGCTAAATCACCTGTTCATTAGGTATATTCTCTGCTTTTCACGTTAGTACAGGTGACAGTGCTGTTAAAAAATTTGCTGCTACAAAACAAAGATTTCCCTTTCTTCTGTTTCTGGTAAGATTTTCCTCTTTCCATTAATTCCCCACCCACAGCATCCTCAAAGTCTTCTACAATCATTTGTGCAAGTCTTGTCAAGATTTTATCAACACTGTCCTACAAGTCTTTGAAGCTTCCCCCCACTCCCACATTTTAGGTATTTGATATGACAATACCCCACTTTCAGTTACCACAATCTGCGCTGGTTATCTATTGATACATAATAAACTATTCTAAAACTCAGTAGCTTAAAACAACAAATATTCATCAGCTCACTATTTCTATGGGTCAGTAATTTTTGAGCAGCTTAGTTGGGTGGTTCTGGCTCAGGGTCATTCACAGAGTTGCAATCAGGATGTTGGCAGAAACTAAAGTCATCTGAAGGCTTGACTGAAGCCGTAGGATTTGCTTCCAAGATAGATCAGTCACATAGCTGTTGGAAGGAGAGCTTCTCCACAGGCAACTTGAGTGTCTTCACAACAAGGAAATTCAATTCCTCCAGAATGAGTGACCTGATAGAGAGAAAAAAGGTGTAGTATCGTTTATGTCCTAGTCACTGTTTGTCACTTTTGCTGTATTCTATTTATTAGAAGAGTCACTAAACCCACCCTGACACTCAAGAGGAAGGAAATTAGGCTCCATCTTTTGGAGGGAGGAAGTGTGGATAAACCTGTGGACATTTTTTAAGACTATCATGGGAGGCGTAGGCAAGAATATCCCTCAGGTCAGGCCTGAAACAAAGCCTGACACTCAAGAGGAAGGAAATTAGGCTCCATCTTTTGGAGGGAGGAAGTGTGGATAAACCTTCCTGTCTTAAACCTTTTTTAAGACTATCATGGGAGGCGTAGGCAAGAATATCCCTCAGGTCAGGCCTGAAACAAAAGGAAGGCTCTCTCAGGACTCTCAGCAAACCTTTTTAGTGAGAACCCTGGGATGTCTGTGGAGAAGAGCCTGTGAGTGGGTGCAAATTCCCCTCATATGTATAACTCCAGCATTCTCTATATTCTCTAGATAGCTCACGTTATTGATAGTAATTTGTTAAAATTTTTAGTTGATTTCTTTTTTTTTTTAACCAGTGTCTAGGGGTGTCTGTCTTAGCTAATCAAGTGCTCATATCCTGTCTGTTCAGAGGCTTCCAGTTCATTGCTCTGCAACCTCAGCTCTCTGCTGGGTTCAAGTGAAGTTTTGATTTTGCAGATTACTCAGCACTTTTTCTTATTGCTGTAAGGGTGGGAGTAAAGCTTTTCTCAAATATCTGTATCATAAGCAGAAACTGGAAGCATAAAATTCTCTGAGACCTTTATGGACTGACATACTCGAAGTGTTTCAGTCTATTGCAGTTATTCTTATTGAAGCTCAAATTTGACATAGTGGAGCCTCTTGAAGTTGGCTCCTGAATTCTTTTAATACATCCTCACTAGTATTTGATAGTTTCTTTGTTTTTTTTTTGTATTATCAAATGTTGCAAAATATTCCAGTACCAACTTGTACTTTTTCTGCCCTAGAGTTGGAATCAGCCATTTCTCTAAGTTTCCTTGTTTATGTGGGTGGGAAATCGTATTTAGAAACCAACATCTAAGCACTAGGAATGCCCCGTTGCTACAGTGTTTCTTCTTATTTCTAACCCTTTTCAGTGAGCAAAGCTAAGTATTGCATACTCTTTAAAAGATAAAGTAGATCATGAATTCATATTGAATGTTAACTTCAAAATCAGGTCTAAAGGGTTTTTACTTAGCTTCATCTACCCTATGTCTGTTTCTCCATTCTACCATGCCAAACTTCTCATTTTCAATGACAACAGCATAATTATTCATTTGCTACCTGGATCTTTTCCTTCAGGAACAAGGTACCTGCCTGATGAAAATGTTGTCTGCTGATGGCCCACAGCTACCTTCCCAGGAGAAATTCACATCCAAAGACTGGGTTACATGGAGTATAAAGGTGTGTTTCCCTTGCCTCAATTTGGAAGATTTCTAAAAGGCCATTAGTTTAAGAGCTCCCAGTGGTATTGACCAAGACTTCTCTTGTAAACTGCCTGAGAGTTTAACTTCCACCTCTGCCCAGTCATGCTTCCTTCAGTCCCATCTAGTTAGTTTTTTCCTGAAAACACTCCCTAACAAATGATCAGTGTAAAGCTACATGAATGCAAGTTGTTGAGTAAGGCAAATCATAACTAAAGCCAAAATGTTTCATTATTTTAGTTATACTGTTTCTATTTGTATTGTCAGGGCTAGGGCTCAGACCCTTCAAACCCATTGTATAGACTGGGTCACAGACCCCTCACACACCAGGCTGGGCCACCAGACCCCTCACACGCAGGTCCATGCTAAGTAATTGGGAAAGATCCCAGGAGCCATTGGCAGATGACACGAGTTCAGTCCTCAGCTTCCTCAGCAGCGGCGGCAGCAGCTTACAGCAGATCCAGGAGCAGCAGCAGCGGTGGTGGTGGCCTCCCCTTGGACCCCCCTCCTGGGGGCATCCCGGGGGTGGGGGGCCCTGTGGATCAGAGCCATTTGTCCTTTATACTTAAGTCCAATAACCCAGGACACCTGGGCACACATGTGCAATTACATTAGACAATAACCCAAGGAACACCTGGGTGCACGTGCCTATTTACATCAAGTGCTCGGCAAGATTCTGAACATCCAAGGAGCCCTGACCATTTTCCTGTATTTTCCCAACAATTGGCATGCAAATCCCACAGCATAGTCTGAGTCTATTTGTCAGAGAATCCAACCTGTGACAGCTTTATTCTCACAATACACAGGCAGTCTTTCAATAATACTATGAACACCATCAACATAATTACTGAAAACCATTTTTAAATAATATGCCTATGTTATTTTTACTTTATTTTGTGCAATTCTTTTTGTCCTTAGGTTATATCGCATTAGAGATATACTGTCTAATTACTATTTTAAAGGCCCTTGAAATTGTCCTTCTCTGTATGGTTATGCCACTAACTCAATATACAGAGAAGTTCAGTTGTTTCATTTTGCTTTCGGCTTTAAGAGATTTTGTTTTAAAGTTTGAACTTATTGTTTAATTATTTACATGATTTCTAAGTCATGTATAGAAAGTGATGTATATTTTGATATGTCTAACTTCTACCTCTAGTTTTTCCACCCTCTCCCATGTGAAAACACTTTTTTAAATTTCTGGGTTATTTTTAAATTAAGCAAATGCTCTGTGTGTGTGTGTATTATACCCTCTGTGCTTTCATAGATGAATGGTAGCATAATGTACACATTTTTCTCTTTCATTTTTCCTTAAAAATATATCTTGAAAATCATTCCACTAAGTATATAGAGGTATTCCCCATTCTTTTTTTTATAGCTGCATATTACTCCATCGTTTGGATGTTATATAGTTTCTTCAACCAGTATCCTATTGCTGGACGTTTAGCTTGTTTTTAGTCTTTTGCTCTTACAATGAATGCTATACTGACTAGCCTTGTGTACAGATTACTAGAATAAAAATTGCTGGGTCAAAGGGCAAAAGCACAGAAATTTTTCCAGAATTGAAATGGGATTGTATCGGTTTGAGTTCCCAGGAGTGATGTATGAGCATCCCTGTTTCCCCAGCCATGCCAAGATTATGATGTCTATCTAAAAGTTAAAATGTAAGAAAAAAAGTAATGTACTTCAGTGTGAATTTACATTTTTCCTTTGTGAGGGAGGTTGATATCTTTTCATATGTTTAAGGGTCACCTGCATGATTGAACATGGCTCAGCATTCTATGCTCCTTTGTTCGCCAACAAGTTGGAAAGGCAAGAGGAGATGGAGAGCTGGCAACTTCTTTTTTTTTTTTTTTTTTTGTCTTTTTCCGTGT